ATCTTAGTCTTTTTATGATGCTCCCAGTTAGACTAGAAGAGAGTAAGGTAGTGTCTGCTACGCGTACACAACCACTTGCTATCCTAAGAACCAAGAAAGTTAAGTCTTTCTCTTCTCGCCCATATTTCTTTTATTTCCTGTACGTATCTGGATAAATACTGTATTTTACATTTATGGGCGCCTCTGGTGTCTGTGTTATTTGAGACCAGGTTGTGGCACCAAATCTTAAATTTAACTTTAATTTATATTGTCATATACATATATCTCTTCAATAATTAAATTATTTAGCTGGCCTTGTTCCGGTTTGTTACACTGTTAGTAATGGAGGGACGGATTGGTTGTTCTGGTTTGTCACACTGTTAGTAATGGAGGGACGGATTGGTTGTATCCGCTACCTGATTTTTTTTTTTTTTTTGTATTCAGACATTTTCGCTCAGATGGTCCAACGTACGTTTAGACTTAATAATACAATAAATATTTAAGGTACAACCCTATACACCATTCAAAAAAGGAAACTAGACAGGTTCCTGAAAGCCGTGCCTGAGCAGTCAGGGAATGATGACTAAGCTTGCAGACTGTAAGCAACAATAACTTGATTTGCTCAGACATTTCTCAAGGAAGGATGTCTGCAGGGGTAGGTAGACTAGATATTAGCGACAGGTGTGCTTATGATTTACAATCATTATTCATGAAATGCTTCACGAAGCTCTCGAAGGTGCCGGTGTAAGTGAAGAGCTTCATCACGCGGAAGAAATAGTAGTAGGACACCACCACGTCCTTGGGGCTCCTGGCCACGTAAATCACCTGCGGAACACACAGCATTAGTAATGGCTTCATTCTGGCTGCGTCTTTGGGATTCTAGGCTACGAACACCATTTTAGGAACTAAACATTTATTTACACTAGCCACGTTCTTCGAGTTAATGATAACGTACTTGGGGCTTCTGGCAACGTATGTATTATCCAAGGTACATTATACAATAATACAGACCTTGTGCTTGTTGCTCTGTGACCCTGGTTAACAATATACTCCATGTACACTACTGAAAGATTTGGATTTCTCGCTAAGGACGCCCCACTAACAGTCAAGGTGGAGGAAATTAAGATATCAATACAGACATATACTCTTAAGATGTTGTAGAGCATCTTGGGTAGAGTATTAAAGCACCTATTAATAAAGTGAGGCGAAATTTTTGCTAATATGAAAGCAATTTGTGAAATTACAGAAGAGTAGAAAACTGAAGTGTTTTGAACCAAGGCGAATTCAGATTAATTATTATTCAGCTGAACAGTGCAACACGCTGGGTAAAAAAATGAGGATATATTTTGAAAATGACACTGACATTACAGGGTGTTCCTGAAAGGAAAAAAATGGTTTCATTAAATACCTGTGTAATTCATACATTCCACCTAAATATTAACGTCAACTATATTTTTAATACCGAGAAAATGAAATGGTGTAGTGATAAGGCCTATTAATTTAAGAGTTCGTTGTTTACTTTAGTTTCTTACCAAATTATTTAAATACGTTGCTACATAACTACAACAAAAAGATTGCTCGATTTTTTTTCTGAAGGTAAAGAATTAATTTTATGATTTGAAAAACGCTGGATTTGAGAAACTATTCAGCGCCCTGATCAAAAGGACACCAATATAGTTACATTTACTGTTAATGTCACGTGAGGATTCGTGCTCTCTCTCTCCGTCCCACTAAAAACATTTTTAAACATATTTTTTTTTATTATCACACTGGCCGATTCCCATCAAGGCAGGGTGGCCCGAAAAAGAAAAACTTTCACCATCATTCACTCCATCACTGTCTTGCCAGAAGGGTGCTTTACACTACAGTTTTTAAACTGCAACATTAACACCCCTCCTTCAGAGTGCAGGCACTGTACTTCCCATCTCCAGGACTCAAGTCCGGCCTGCCGGTTTCCCTGAACCCCTTCATAAATGTTACTTTGCTCACACTCCAACAGCACGTCAAGTATTAAAAACCATTTGTCTCCATTCACTCCTATCAAACACGCTCACGAATGCCTGCTGGAAGTCCAAGCCCCTCGCACCCAAAACCTCCTTTACCCCCTCCCTCCAACCTTTCCTAGGCCGACCCCTACCCCACCTTCCTTCCACTACAGACTGATCCACTCTTGAAGTTATTCTGTTTCGCTCCATTCTCTCCACATGTCCGAACCACCTCAACAACCCTTCCTCAGCCCTCTGGACAACAGTTTTGGTAATCCCGCACCTCCTCCTAACTTCCAAACTACGAATTCTCTGCATTATATTCACACCACACATTGCTCTTATACATGACATCTCCACTGCCTCCAGCCTTCTCCTCGCTGCAACATTCATCACCCATGCTTCACACCCATATAAGAGCGTTGGTAAAACTATACTCTCATACATTCCCCTCTTTGCCTCCAAGGACAAAGTTCTTTGTCTCCACAGACTCCTAAGTGCACCACTCACCCTTTTCCCCTCATCAATTCTATGATTCACCTCATCTTTCATAGACCCATCCGCTGACACGTCCACTCCCAAATATCTGAATACATTCACCTCCTCCATACTCTCTCCCTCCAATCTGATATCCAATCTTTCATCACCTAATCTTTATGTTATCCTCATACAGTACCTAAAAAAAAACTGGGTTGAGTTAGGCAAATTAACTTACAATCCGTAAAATAAAAAAAAAGTCTTTGGAAAAAATCTACATCAGTTTAGGTTACTGCTGTGGGAAAAGGGGTGATTCCGTCCTTAATAAGATGGCGCAACTTTAGAGAAGCCACTCGCATTATATGCAGGTGAGTATATCGTGCGTGTGTGTATATTGAAAGCAACATTGCTGTACACTTAGGGTGTTAGCTATAATTCTTAGACTGCTGGTTGAAATACATGTAACTGATGATGAACAGATATTGACTAATATCCCGTTGTTTAATCGATAGGCTTCAAACCTAATAAACCAACAAAACAATTCAGGCGGACTGACCTTCGTCTGTTCGAGGATATGAGGAGTGAGAAGAGCGAAGGGAAGATGAGATTTCATAACCCGCGGGTCAGGCATTAACTCACACATCTGGAAAGCCATCCCGTCTTCAATCTTTCTCCCTGGACACACTTCGTGGAAGGCTTTTATGAAGTGGTCAATACTCACACCCTCCAGACCTTTACCATCGAGGATCATATCCAGGCTGAAGATTACAAAAAGGACATCTGTACATAAATTTACTACGGATCGTGCTATAGCAAGTATTTACAAAAATTACGGTGAGCTCTATATTCGCAACAGTATAGCATTATGCTTGAAATATATAAGTATGTCACAATATTCACCATTGTCAAATCATGTATGAATGTGTAATAAATTCTTATCAACAATTAGAGTTAAGCATGCAAATGCACGTTAAATACTTGTTAATTAATGGTATTGCACAAAAGTGTTGCGAGAGGCTACCGATACTGCTGTACAATTTCAAGGAAGAGTTGCTCATGCAAGAAACATCAGAGGTGAAACGAAAAGTAGTTGTAGGAGATTCTTAACACACCCCATCTCCCTTCTCCCCGCATGCCGGGAACTGGGTAAAAAAAAAATAGAGCTGTCATCAGTATTTGCAGGAGTGTGTAGAGGAAAACTTGATCTACGTTTAAATAGCTGTGGTTCGTACTTCGGTTTACGTGCGGCCAGCAATAAATACCTGGTTGATCAGTCTCTGACCCACCACGAGGCCTGGTCACGGACCGCGCCGCGGGGGCTTATCCCCTCGAAACCTCTTCCAGGTATGGATGGTACCTGCTCTCTTCCTTGAACCAAATCTGAATGCCTCTCATTCCTTCATTCCCTCACAGGTTTAACGCTTTCCCATGAATGTGTAATATTTGTAGAAGAAAATGCCAGTGGCTTATAGGGGAAAGGAACTATGGTTTGTATGGGAAAGATGGTGTAAGGGGAATATGGGATGGTTTGTATGGGATGCAACGGTTTATAGGAAGGAGGGTCAATGGTTTATAGGAAAGAGGGGCAATGGTTTGTAGAGTTTGAGTCACCCACCAAGGTAGGGTTACTGAGAGAAGAAACCGTCATCATACATTCATTCGGTTCCTGTTTTGCCAAAAATTTGTGATAAAACACAGCTCAAATGAGACTCCGTCTTTTTACGTTCCCATCCCTCCAAAGATAAACAAAAATTAAACCCAGTCTATTAGATAGCTATGACAGTTTTTTTTTTATATTCAGCTATCATGATGAAATATAAAAAAATGTGGTGTATCAACACGCGGCTAATGGCAGGAGCTTGTCAAAGATATTCATACTCAATTTCCGGAGAGCGGTGATAGATGGGTTCACCAGCGAGTGGATGGTTAAGGTCTGGGTTGTGAAGCATCGTCCACACCACCTCCTGCATCCATGTCGTCCCAGACTTAGGCATCGTCATCACCACCACATCGCTGGACCTGAACTGATAATACGAGAAGATTGGATTACAAATATACAAGGTGCCGAGATCAACTGATGTACCGAGAGTCGGCTGATTTTCGGTACATCTCTGATATATTGAAGTTAGTTTAATAGTTTTATTATGCACCATAAATGCATTCTGTGGGCGGTAGTTGAAACATTTGAAGCATATAATGGGTCCAGGGGACTGGGCATCAATGTTAGGGTAGTTGCGGTGGTAATGAACTATTTAAAAGTTTACCATCTGGTTACAATTATAACGAGCTGTGTACACAGGCATTAATTCATTCTCAAAAACATTGATATATTGAGTAATGGGGAAATAAGCATGTACCTTGAAGTTATATATTCTTTCAGCATATTCTGTGAAGAGTGTAGGATAGAGCCAGCCGTCGGGCAGGAGGCGTACCATGCCGTTGTTATAGAGTGTCTGGTCTTGACCCATCCTAGCCAGCCACTCCTCGCTCATGTGGACCACCTCGTGGCCACTAGCCAGCCGTGTGCTACTCATCTGCTCCATACACGCTTCTCTACACCTGTAAAAATTATTTTCATGAGGAAGGGCTGACCCCGACGGGGGTCATACAGCTCCTGGAAAATGAGAGATAATAAAGTTTGACCCATGAAAAAGGAGGGTAGGTCCAATTACTTTGATCAGGTACATTTCACCAGCATCAAGAAGACTGAAAATTGAAGGCGAGAAAAAAGTGTGTGCCTCGTAACACCTTGAATCAGGATGTTTATCATCAGTTACTGAAGAACAGTTGTCTGTCACGCAGTTTCCCTTCAAGGTGGGTCGTTGGTGCTGTAAGGTTACTTTATACAAGCAGATGAAGTAATGCTCCCCTTCCTCGAAACAAACCTAGTTACCTTCCATTCTCCAGCTGTTGACCCTTATAGGGTTTAGTGCTTCGTAAATCAATAAGAGCTATAAAAATAATATCGCTCGATTAGCTAGTATCTTAAGTGATTAACAGTCGTAATAGTTTTAACTTTGACGCTATACATTGCCCTAATATGACACACTAATTCGGTATCGAAGCACCGTTCCATGGTGGTGGAGTGAACATGGTAGACACAGCTACATGTGCGTTAAATGAGATACCAAGAACCCTTAACGAATTCGCTGGGGAAGCATGACGTCAGACCGTCACATTCACGTTTAAAACACGTAACACTAAGCACATCAGGTGCAGACCGAAATGTTAAGTTCTCTACATTTATTTTGTTGAATTAGACACATGTGCAACTCTTGGGTATCTTTATTGAGGAAACGTTTCGCCACACGGTGGCTTCATCAGTCCATACAAAGGAGAAACTTGAAGAACAGGAGGAGAATGAGGTAATCAGTCCCTCAGCCTTGAGTCGATGTGGTCAGTCCATCAATCTTGAATAGAATACGGCATATGAGCGGAGAAGCAGCTTATAAACCGTGGACAGGTGAGAGGCAGCAGTCGTAGGTGGTGTCACATTTGTCCAATGTGGAAGTAGGTCGTGCCCAAGGGTTAGGCAAGTGAAGAATTCCCAAGTATTAAGATCCCAAGAAGTTGCAGTGTCTGACAGGATTGATGGACTGACCACATCGACTCAAGGCTGAGGGACTGATTACCTCATTCTCCTCCTGTTCTTCAAGTTTCTCCTTTGTATGGACTGATGAAGCCACCGTGTGGCGAAACGTTTCCTCAATAAAGATACCCAAGAGTTGCACATGTGTCTAATTCAACAACATGTCAATAACAAAATCCCCCCAACAAACACAGAATACAACCTCGTTCATATTTGCTAATATACAGGGCCTTAAGCCATCCACCAACAACAAAATACCTTTTATCAGTGGACTTCTAGTGGAGTCTAATGCAATGTTTGCAGCCTTCACAGAGACTCACACAAAAGATCACTTTGACAGTGAAATGTGGATAAGTGGTTACAACCTTTTTAGATGCGACAAAAAAAACGGGCAACAAGGGGGGGTTGGCCTGTACGTCAAAATCCCTTATCTGAAAGGGTTGCTGAACACCACAAATGAGGTAGTTGAATTCTATCAATAAAGATCGAAACCCAAAAACCGTCATTGTGGTTGATACAAGCCCCAGATGCAACCTCCCAAAGTTCAAGGGAAAAGCTACTAAAATCGTTACGTTTGGAAAAAATTCCCGCTCCACCCCCAAAAATCTTACTGCCTTGGGATTTCAACCCAAGGATACAAAAGGAAGAATGTAGCAAATAATTTTTAGCTGAAAAAATCCCCCGGGGGTAGGCAGATGAAAAGGGCAACAGGCTACTAAGTCCGCGAAAAACCAAACCCTTTAAGCCGCAGTTGGAGCCAACAAGACTAGAAAAAACCTTTACCTTATCTTTACAAATAAAGACCTGATAAGAGACATAAAATACAAAACAAAATTCCCATCCAATCAATCGAAGCCAACTACTTCTAGGGGTTCCCGAACCAATGCATGTACGTGAAGGTGTCTTTACAAAAAAAAATTTTAACAACAAAAACATCAACTGGGAAACCATAAACCATGTCCTAAACGAAACATTTGGGAAGATGCTTAAATACTGGATCCAAACCCGGCCTTGAAAGGATCAACTTCCCGGAGCCAAGATGTTCTAGGCATTTCCCCCAAGAAAGAAGAAGAGCAGGGGTAAACGGAGAGAAAAAGACGCTCCCTCTACAGAAAACGACGAAGCATGAGCCCCAGGGGGTGCTGAATATCAACACAAAGGAGGGGGCTGACCGGGGAAATGGAAACTATCGAACTTAAGCAAAAAACCTTTTCAGGAACCCAAAAGGGGGAGGAGGAGCTTAACATTAGTGAATTGAAAGAAAAAATTTAAAAATATTTCTTTTCAAGCCAAAAACAAGCAAATACACAATCTAGTATCGGGCCCTTACTCAAGACAGGATGGGACCTTACAAGACGACAAAAGGAAATGAGTGAAAATATTGAAATCCCAGTACGATCTGTGTTTAAGTGAACCACTAATCGGTCTGAGGATCGACGACCCAATATGATTTCTTCATGAATGAGACTCCAAACTCCATAATGTATGCCAGATTTCCGACATTACCCTAACCCCATAGATTTCGAAAAAGCCATTGATCAACATGGCCTATGCACTCAGCCCGGGCCCAGGACTCGTGGAACTCTGTTTCATTAAGAACGCAAGAAACCCCTCTCGCGTGCCTAAGTAACTATGGGGAGGAGCTTGGCTATGGGTGAAATTCCACAGTCACCTTAAAAACAAGGATATAGCCCGTCCATAAAGGTGGCAGCAAAGCATTAGTAAGAACTATAGGACCAATAGCTCTGACGTCCACATCATTAAAAATCTTTGAAGGAGTGCTAAGATGAGCAGGATAGCAAATCTCCTAGGATTCCCAAATCTGCACATTCCAGGGCAACATGGGTTCAGGGCAGGTCGCTCCATGCCTCTCACAACTACTGGATCACTATGACATGGCCTTGGTAATGCACTGGAAAGAAATTCAGATGCAGATGTAATATACACAGACTTTGCAAAAGCATTTGACAAATGCGATCATGGCGTAATAGCCCATAAAATACGTGCTAAAGGAATAACTGGGAAAGTGGGGAGATGGATCTTCAACTTCCTAACAAATCGAACACAAAGAGTAGTGGTCAACAGAGTTAATCGGAGGCTGCCATAGTGAAGAGCTCTGTTCCACAAGGCACAGTACTCGCCCCCATCTTATTCCTTATCCTCATATCAGACATAAACAGAGATAAGATTTAAGATTTCGTTCGGATTTTTAACCCCGGAGGGTTAGCCACCCAGGATAACCCAAGAAAGTCAGTGCGTCATCGAGGGACTGTCTAACTTATTTCCATTGGGGTTCTTAATCTTGTCCCCCAGGATGCGACCCACACCAGTCGACTAACACCCAGGTACCTATTTGCTGCTAGGTGTATTTGCTGCTAGGTGAACAGGACAACAGGTGTAAGGAAACGTGTCGAAATGTTTCCACCCGCCGGGAATCGAACCCGGGCCCTCCGTGTGTGAAGCGGGGCTTAGCCACCAGGCCAACGGGCCACTACAGCACCGTATCATCCTTTGCAGATGATACTAGGATCTGCATGAGGCTTTCATCTGCTGAGAACGCGGTTAACCTCCAAGAGATATTAAACAATGTTTTCCAGGGGCAACGATTAACAATATGATGTTCAATGAGGGACATATTCCAACTTACTCCGTTATGGAAAACTGGAGGAGATAATAACTAGAAAGAGTATACTACTGGCTGACTCCGGCCATACAATAGAGCGGAAAAATAATGTAAGGGACCTGGGAGTAGTAATGTCTGAGGAATCTCACTTTCAAGGATCACGACAGTGCCCGATCGCACGTGCAAAGAAAATATTGGATGGATAATGAGAACTTTCAAAACGAGAGAGAGATGCCAAGCCCATGATGGATCCTTTTCAAATACTTTTCTCTCTAGGGCTGGGAATACTGCGGTACATTAACTTCTCCATACAAAGCAGGTGAAATCGCAGATTAGAGTGTGTACAGAGATCCTTTCTGCACGTATAAGTTCTGTCAAGCACCCTTGACTACTGGAACGCTTGGAAGCACTTGACTTGTACTCGTTGGACGCAGGGATGGAGGGATATATTCATATATCTAACACTTGGAAAAATCTTGGAAGGAATGGTCCCAAATCTGCACACAGATTCACTCCGTACGAAAGTAAAGACTGGGCAGGCGATGCAAAAATGCCACCAATCAAAAGTAGGGGGTCCATGGTTTCACTAAGAGGAAAACACCATAAGTGTCCGGGGCCCAAAAACTGTTCAACAGACTCCCATCAAGCATTAGGGGATTTGCCATAAACCCCTGGCTGCTTCAAGAGAGAGCTGGACAGATACCTAAAGTCAGTTGCCGGATCAGCGGGCTGTGGCTCGTACGTTGGATGAGTGCGGCAGCAGTAACAGCCTAGTTGATCAGGCCCATGATGCCATCGGGGAAGGATGGTCATGGACGGGCCCTCGGCGGCGTTGATCCCCGGAATAACCTTCCAGGTAAACCTCCAGGTAACGTCGGTTCTCTGAAACCATTCATTACAATCATGTCGGTGTGTGGGTGGGGGTGGGGGTTGATTCAGAAGACCTGTTGTACCTTTCCCCTGGATCGAACCTAGGCTTACGTTTAAGCTATCCTTTTTGATTATAATCTGGATCAAACCTGATTGCTTTCTATTCTCCCCAAAGCGCCGTGTGATTCCTTATCGGTTTTAACAATTCTTACCGTGAACCTAATACTGAAAATAAATTAATACCGTATCCGCTGTAAGCTCGCATCTAAACTTATTCCCCTTAGTGTGTAGAAAATTGCATTAAAATACGTAACTATTTTATCATTTTGTTTCAACACTGGGATTTTTATTGACAAAAACAGCAGCAGCAACTGCAGCAGCAACAACAGCGAGCAACAACAGCAGCAACAACAAGCAGCAGCAACAACAGCAGCCAGCAACCAGCCGCAACGAGCAGCAACAGCAGCACAGCAGCAG